TTTGAGTTGGAGTTTCACTGTGTCACCCTGGCTGGAGTACAGTGGCATCATGTTCAGGGCCACCACAACCTTGACCTGCTGGGCTCAGGCAATCCTTCCACCTCAGCCTTCCGAGTAGCTGGAAATATAGGTGCACGTTACCACACCAAGCTAATTTTTTGATTTATTATAGAGACGAGGTCTCACCAAGTTGCCCAGGCTGGTCTCGAACCCCTGGGCTCAGGTAATCCTCTTGCCTTGGCCTCCCAAAGTGCTGAGATTACAGGCTTGAGCCATGGAGCCCGGCCCATTTTATTCTTAAATTATCATTCAGATCATATCTAAATCTTGCTCATAAACCCCAAAGTGCCCGCTGCCAAGTCCCTTATTTCGGCATTTAAGATTCTTTACAATTTGCCTCCCAAATCTACCTTTTCAATACTGTTTTCATCCATATATTTATTCACTTGACATACACTTACAAAGTGTTTATCAAGGACACCGAGGAGTTGAAGATACTACAAGGTGACTGAAACAGTCCCTACTATAAAGGAGCTTAAAGTCTTTAATGGGAAAATGTACAAAGATAGCTCCACTATGAGGAAGAAAATAAATGCAATAAGAGGGATAGCAAAGGAGTTCAGAAGGTAATTTTGATGTGGGGGCATACAGGATATCTTAAAAGAGGTGGCATTTTATCATGCCTTGAAGGGAAGGCAGAGGTTCAATATGTGAGAAGAGGAAGGTCACTGCAAAAAAATGAGCAAAGGATTAGAGGTAAAGACATAGGAAACAAGTGTGATTTCCACACAGTGTATGTAAAGCAGACTAGTAAGAGGTGAAGCTGAAGAGAGACAACTGGGGCTATATCCCCACAATTAAGTATGCTTGGCCAAGGTTTGGACTTGGCTATCTATCTATTTAACAAGTATCTACGGACTACCTACAATAGGCCAGACTGCAGGTTCAGCACCAGGGAGAGAGTAGAGAGCAAGAAGACATGACCCTGAACCTCTTGAAACTTATGGTTTAACATAAAGGCAGTAAGGAGCCACTGAAGATACTGAACAGAGGACTGACATGGTCCAGGTGGAATTTAAGATCATTCTGGCATCAGTGTGTAAGATTAATTGCATAAGGAAAGAAACAAAAATTAGGTCATTCATTACATTTAATATAGGGAGGGATGAGGCCCAAGATAGTGGCAGTGGCAATGGAGGAGATAAAGGTTTGAAAGCCATTAAGGAGGAAGACTATCTGGCTCACACTTGAGTGGAAACAGTTGGAGTAGAGCAGGAAAGAGAGAACCATAAGATTGGAAAAAACTGGAACAGTGGTTGGCTCTGGGAGCAAAGACTGACTGGGAAGGTTATGAAAGTACTCTCTGAGATGGTGGTCACATCTGTACCTTGAAGAGGTTTAGTCCAGGGGTGTGGGCATTTTTAAAAACTCATCAAATGGTATACTTAGCATATGTAAATTTTATTTTTAAAAAAAATTCCTAAAAAATATTGAACTTCAGTTAATAATATGTAAACTGAAGTGTTTGGGGCAAAGGTATGATACCTACAACTTACTTTAAAAAAGATAAGATGAATTGACAGATGAACATATAGATGGATCTGTGATAAAGCAAACAGCGAAATATTAACTGCAGACTCGGTGGAGGGTACATGGTAGTCATTCACTATACAATTCTTTCAATCCTTTTACAAAAATTCCTTAATAAGATGTTGAGAAAAATGAAAAGCATACAGTTCGAGTTTGGACACTGGAAGTAATACAGAGTAAGACACAGGTTTGGGGCCCTAGACGGAGAGCTCAATTAGTGACACAAGGATTTGGGGTATTCAAGGAATCCAAGTGGAAATATTTACCAGGCAGCTGGAAATGCACGACTAGAGTTTGGTTATTGTACTTCCTAAACATCCTTCTGCCTCCATGTGTTCCCATTTACTGAAATCCTTTCCTTTTTCAAGTTTAGTATCTGACCACCCTGACCTTCTACATTTAGCACTGTACAATTAGTTCAGTGTTCCATCTATTACTAGACTGGAAACTCTTAGGATAAGCAGAATCTTATACAGAATATATACCTCCATTTCATAAAGCAATTTTCAAATAAACAAATGAATAAAACCTGACTTAGAATTTGAATATCTAGGTCTTTATGCTCACATTGATTCTTGGCTCAGAAGGTGCAGTTTTGCTTTTTCTTTCTGAGATAGGTACACAGATACACACATTCTTGAAAGGCACCATTTGCAGAGGGAAAAATAACTTCCATCACATAGACTGAAATGGAATTCTCATTCCTAAAGTGCTAATATATTTGATTTTATCTTTCTTAGTAGCTTTTCTTCCAGATTTCATCTGACATTTCATTTTGCAGAATTAAAAACATAGGAAGACAATGGTTGCACTCAGGTGGCAAAACTATGCTTGATTTTTTCCTTTCTAAATTTTAGAAAAGATTTTAGAATATAAGTGCAATAAGAGAGATGTTTTGATAACAGGGACAAAAAGTCCATGTTTTTTAAAGGAAACCTTTCATGACTACAGTCATCAGATCCTTAAAGCACACTGCTAGAAACTTCTGAGTTGTGAGGAAAGGCATCAAATCAAGTGACTGATCTCTCATTCCAATTTTCCTCATTAACAATGAGCTCCCTGAGGTTAAGAACTATGCCTGCTCATCTTTGTACTTCCTGGTACTATCCACAGCACTAAGCTTGGCATATAGTTAGCACTAAAATGGTGAGAGAACATAAATTTGACACTAAAAAGAATACCAGAAAAGTAGCCAATGCCAGTTAGTAGAAAGCCATTAGCTTATTCTGTTAACCTGAATGTTCACTCGTCTACCAATTTTGACAATCTATTTTTTAAAATGATCTCAAAGAACATCTTTTACATCTCCCAACTGCTCCAGGCAGACAGTGCTGCTAGGTGAAAGAAATTGGGTTTCGCTCCTTCCATGAATTCTAAGAGCCAGCTAGAATAAGCCAAGGAATACCTAAACCTATTCTTGGCACAATAGGAGAGTAAGTCTATTGAGGAAATCCATGAATAATTAAGATTGCTCCTATTTTTGTACGAGACTGACTCGGCTATTGGTAATATTTTATACTTTATATAATTCCATCAGATCCCCTGACCCTGCTAAATTCCCAGTGGTTCACCTCAACTCCTTAACCTCCAAATCCACTTACTACCCAGGAAGAATCTGCTTCATCTCTTATCCCCACCATACTTTAACAAATGTTTTACCTTTTCTCCTCTCTCTCGCTCTTTGTCCTTCTCTTCTTTTTTCTTTTTTTTCTCACTATGCCCATCTGTGTGGAGGACAGGAAGTGGTGGGGGAGGGGCAGCTACTCCAGGGTACGGGACACTGGGAGGAGGGCCAGGTGTCGCTGTGACCTCTCCCACCGGTGCAGCAGAAAGTCCTGAACTTCTCTTGGACTTGGAGTGTCGCTTCTCTTTATGCTTCTCCTTGTCCTTCTTCTTTTTGCTCTTCTTTGACTTCTTTTTCTTCTTGATTTCCCGGTAAGAATCATCTATCACTAACTCCCCAGCCTCTAGTTCCCCTCCAGAGGATGAGTCTGATTCTACTAGAATAGGTTCAAGCCCTGAAAGATCAAGGTTAGCACTGTGGGACTCTGGGAACTGGGAGGTGTCCGACCCACATCCTTCAGGGTCAGGAGGTGAATGTGGGTCCGAGGATGACTTGTGCTTCTTCCGGGCTGTTTTCAGAAAGCTCTGTAGCTCGTGTCCTAAGAGTAAAGCACCTTGCTCATCCCGAGCTGATTTCTTTGAGGATTTTTTCACAGTCACTTGTTGAGAGGGATACTGAAAAGACTCCTCATCAACTGAACTGCTTCCCTTTTCCTTTGGTGAGAGAATAAGTTTCATCTTTAAACCATCAGGCTCACGAAGGGTCAGTGTCTCTGTGTTCACATATAGCGGTTTCATTTTTTTGGATTTGTGGGAGCCACTATCCTCCAGGGAAAGTTCTCCACTGCTTCCACTTACTTTCTTTCTGTGGTGTTGGTGTTCCTTTTTACTTTCTGAATGGCTGGAAGAGCTAGAGGATTTCTCCCCAGTCTTTTTGGAGGGCTTGGAGCCTGCTGCCAGAGGGGAAGTGATAGCTTTCAATAGATCCATAGCTGTATCAGCAGACTGTGGGCTGGATTTTTTCTTTTTCTTCTGTGATGATTCCAAAGACGAAATGTCTAGAAATAATCAAAAGAAGTCCTGTCAGTATGACAGGAAGCAACTTCTACCAAGTTTCCTTTCTCATCAAAAACACTCAATTAACATGAGGAAGAGGCTAAGAGGAATGAGTTGAAGGGAGACCCTTTAACTGATTCCTAGCATTCAGAGATGATGCCCACGTGCTTCTTGGCTTGGTGGATTCTGCCTCTGACCTTGGAGACAGCTCTCGCCACTAAAGTTGTATGTCTTCACTGAGTCTTCGGAAGCAACCAAAGAGAGCACACCCAGAAGAATGGACTATAGCTGTGGGATTATGAGTAGTTACAATTTAGATTGCAAACAGTGTACTGCTTATTTCTGTGTTCAGAACAAAACCATTCTAGTAAGTTTAGCCTTGTCAGCTATATGCATAACATAGTTAAGAAAACTGGTTCTGAGTGGTTATACACTGGTTGAGAAGTGACCCACAGGTGCAGGCCAGAGGGCTCAAGGACTACATATGGCCAAAGGGATCCTAGACAATAATGGGCACAAGATAAGTGGATGGTTGGGGGGAGAAGGAACCTGGTACCTGGTGTATCACAAATGAAGACTGTTCTTCTATGCTGAATCCTCCAAATTACCAGCCCTCCACCTCTCTCCTCCTCCACACTGGTTTATCGGCACTCAGAACAAGAACCACTGCCCTGTTAAATAGGCCACTGAGTCAGCAATATCTGGATCCCTTGCCCCTACCCCGACTCCAAGAACCAGTGATGTGTTTATCCCACCTGCTGCCCCTTGCCATCCTCACCTCCATAGTAGTAATCATCAGAGGAGTGCTTCCTCTTCTTCTTGTGCGTGTCCGTCCCCAAGAAGTAAAGTTCGCTATCCTGCAATTAAAGAAGAGTTGGCCAATAATAAAATGATGAGGCAAAAGCAGTTTGGAACCACTTTTATTTTTATTTATTTATTTTTTACGGAGAAAGCAGGATTTATTGAGAGGACGGAAAATCTCCCACAGCGGGAGGGGACTCTTGTTTTATTTTTTTTTTCTAAGTTTTTAAAAAGATACTTCCTTCTTCAAATATTAGGAAATACGGTAAGAAGTAGTTTAAAATTTCCTAATTCAAATTTTTAGAACTTACCTTTAACTTCTTCTTGGAAGAATTCCTGACCTGAGCAGCAATTTCTTCCTCTTCCCTTAAAAAATCTTTATAAGATCGTTTCTTTTCTCGTTGGCTTCGGCCAGCTGCAAGTCCTATGTCCTCAAAAGTATGATCACCATCAAAGCAATCTGAGCAGCACAGGTTCATTTGAGAAAGGAAATGAAAAGTAAGTGACCATCAAACCACCACACACATAATGCAACAGTCCCTCTACTTTCAAGTTAAAATAATGTTTCAGTAGGTCCACTGAAATCCAGGGTTAGACCCAAAGGGACAGAATATTTCTTGATGACCTGGCTGCAAATACAAGAATCAAACCTGAAGAAAAAATGCTTCCATGCTATGCAAAGGACCCTTGCGCATTTTTGGACACGGTTTCTTAGTTGTAATCTGGTAGGTGGACACAGACTTGCAGAGGAAAGGTGGAAAAGAATAAGGACTCATGCGCTGTGCTGCTCTGTGGGAGTCCAGTATGTGGTTCCTATCCCCACGTTCCTGCACACTGGAGCTGGCAGGGACCAAGAGTGCTGCAGGGGATCACCCCAATCAACTACGAGACTCATTTCAGACTCTCGTGTTGGAATCCCTGTCCTGGTTTTCGTTTCCATGGGCCCAGTCTGGGGATGACGTGGAGGACGAGTGTCATAATAGTGCTCTGGACCATCACTTGGGAGTCCAGGCTGTGGTGCCCAGTCCTGGTCTCTATATCCATGGGCTGCAAGGAGTGAAGAGGATACCCCCTCTGGAATGCTTCTCAGGCTAATGGGTCATACCTTCTTTCTTCATGGAGTCATCATAAGCCATGGTGGTCCTGCAGGGCCTTTGTGAATGTGTCACTGTGTCCAGGCTCCTTCTCGTCTACAGGGCCAGGTCTGAGAACAAAGAAGGAAAACCCTCCTGTAATGCGAAATCACTGTGGAGAAGCAACCTTCCAGATAGAAATGCGTAGTGGTCCAAGGGCCGACTGGAAGGGCAGCAAGAAATAAAGGAGTGTCTTGTCACCTCCTCATTCTGTCTGTAAATATATGGGGGTTGAAACTGCAGGAAGTACACTAGGCTTAATTAGATTTCAGTCATGAATAAAGTTGCCATTTGGGGAAGTATACAACATACCTCATACATAAAAATATTTTCAAATTTAATGAATTTTTGAAATGCCAACAGAACTGACAACACTGAGACAAGGTAAAAACCAACACTAAGTAAGAGAGATAGGTTCAATCATGGTTACAAAATGCACAGGTAAAGCAAGACACAGAGGAAGACAGATTACACCAAACACTTGAATACCACAAAATCTTGCCAACTGGATTGGTAAAATGGTAAAATCGACTGCATTGTAATTTAAACAGAAATGATAGCATATAGGGATATTAAAGATCTTTAGAGCATAATTTTTTGGTATGTATTCTGTTAGGCTACATAAATTTGCTCAAATTTATAGAATTGTAAAAGCAGGTACATGGCTTACATTAGTTGGCCATAAGACAGCTTTCAACCGTAACAAGTCTTTCTTAAAGGCTAAGTGAACATAGGGAGATTTGTTATTTGTCCGCTGGTGATAAACTTTTATGATTATTAAGCTCTGACAAGAATTACTATAATGTAAATGATTTAAACATTGTACTGAATTTTTACAACTTTTTTTGGGTATTCAAGTTCATATGTCCATTTTGACTTTGAAGATGATAATGCTATAAAACTGTACCGTAAATTTTTTCAAATACTTTAAGGACAAGCAATGTTACAAATCTTACAGGCAACTTAAAAGGTATATATTAAATATTTTGGAAATGTTCTCATCCAGTTAGTCAAATGCTTAAAGGTTACTTTGGCCATTTATTTCAGTTTTACTTTACCTTAATTATTATAAGGGGATTTAGAAACACTGAAGGACACTTCAACAACACACTATTTCCTTCAGTAGGTGTGGGTAATACTAAGAACAAACTTTTGTGAAAGAAAAGATAAATTTGATTAACAAGGAAACTTTCATAATAAGAGTTGTTTAAAAAAAGAAAAAAGATTATTTGCACAAGTCAGATAAAATACAATGCACAGGTGAAAAAGAAGTATTATCAAGAGTAATTTATAAGTAAGATAAAGAAAAGAAACATAAAAAAGTATTTGGTCATTCCCCTAAGAAGTGAAATGAAACATGAACTTGGTCAAAGTAAGAGAAGCTGGAGTAAAGAAACTACACCAACTGGATTATTTTTTAAATAAACTGGAGAACTGCCGGCTTAAAGGGCTTTTTCATAGGAAGTGAAGGGGATATAAGGTCAGGCCTCATATAAAAATGTGAGGAGGCAAGATACATAATGTAGCCAGTTTTGCCATTCCAGGGTTTAAGTATTAAACTTTTAAAAATGGAAACTACTGTTCTCCCCTTTCCACTCAGAGTGGTGCTGACTCCAAAAGGAATGCTGGTAGGGGAGAGAGGGATGTCACAGGGATTATATCCTTTCATTGGAAAATAGTCTCTTCTCTTATGCTACTAAGATACTGAGTTTACTAGAAAAACATATAGATCACATAGGTTTTCACAGGCTGATAACGCCAAGAAGTCCCACAACTAGAGACCTTGAAGTGAATGCTTTTCATGCCAGTAAATTTTGGCAAAGAACACCTCCGTTGTCAACAACAACAAAATGCACTTTTAAATGTAAGCAAAGGCAGGTCCTGAGACATATAAGCAGGCCTTCTCTTTGGTAACATCAAAACCAACATACAAGAGAACTGAGAAATCTAACAGAATAGAAATAAGTACCTTGAGACAGTTACGAGAAAATGACCATGACTTTACTGGAATACAGAAAAAGAGCTCATGATCTCATAAGACTGCTTAAAAAACAACTCGTGAATTTTCAAAGTTGTGAGAGGGGAGAGAAAATTAGAAATTGCTCCTCAGAGGTACAGGCCAACAAGTGTTAGAGTTAAGCATTAGAATTAGGCCTGTTACTGTTTAAATGGTCTTTAAAAAGCTGGAGAGCATTTTATAGGATTAAATAACCTGAAGAAAAAAAGAGGTCTGAAGATAAGTCCAATTCATGAAAGAACTGGGGCAGCCAAGAGCATGAAAAACTAAAATTAAACACAATGGACTATATCACTCACAGTTTGGGCAGACTGATAGTCCTTACTTACATTTCTAGGTTCTTTAAAATCAGGATATTATTGCAGCTCAGGGGTTAGTTTTGGTTGCTGACTCATAGAAGAAATATGATACTAGATAACGAAGTCTCAAGCAACAGTGTGAAAGAAAGGCAGAGTTTAGGCAACATTTATATAAGACCAGATGAACGCCTGGTATTCCTTCCAGGTCTTGAATATCATCCATGATAAATTGAGAGTTCAGGGGTAGGGAGCAGATAGTGAAAATTAATGAAAATGAAAAATATTAGGATTGATTTTCACATTAGAAAACAGAGGTCATAATTACATTAAATGTTGGCAATGGTAAAACGGGTGTTAAAATCCATTCTCTTGAATTCCGTACGTTTGGAGTTTATAAAACTTAACGTTGTCAACTTCAAGAGGCAGGAATAATTTTATTTATCTCAGTGTGCTGAGGTATGACAACATAAGTAAAAGTTCATCATTTAATTCTGTTTATGGAAGGAAGAAACATGCATCATAAAAAATGTATACTTATGAAATGTGCAAATTGTTAAATGACTCTTCTGGGACTTTTCTTCAGATATGAAAAAGTAGAGGCAGAGTTTGCTCTTCCACTTGTAGATAACTATAGAAGCTATGTTCAAGCATAGGTCTTTGGGATGTCCAAAGTAATCAGGGAAGAGAATAAAATCATCAGACATAATACTTTGTTATTTTGAAGATTCAAATTATACTAAAAAAAAAAAGGTTTTAGAAGGTGATTTTTTGAGGTAACTTGAGCTCCAGCAATCACTAACAAGTTTCTTCATCCCATAATAATGCAAATGAGTATCGAAAAAAGGAAACAAAGTTAAGCCTCATAGAGCCGGCTGGAGAAGCCCTGAAATCCAGGTCCAGTCCAGGATGAGAGCCTTGTCCAAGATTCCACATTTTCTTCTTCCGACACTCGCTTCAAGAACTCCAATTGCCAGTCGGTGCAGGGAAAGAAAAACGCACATCCAGCTGTTGCCAGTTTCTGAAATGTTATGATATGAGCAGGTGATGCTGTCTTCTCAATTCCGTCGAGGTTTCCACCAATCCCTGAACACAGCGACTCCGAATCCTCTGGCCACTCCCTTCTCCGGGGATCTACCTATGCAGCACTCACAGCCCCTGCCAGCTCTGAAAGCTGCAGGGATCCCGACAGCCTGGGATGGGGACTGAATCCTCTCATTGCGGTGCAATTAAGCGGAACCACGACCACCGCACAGATTGGCTGACAACACACATTTCCATAAGACCAGCGATAGAAATTTTGACAAGCCTTATCCAATCAACAGGCTTTATTCTGGATTCGGATTTTTTTTTTTTTAATTCTATTACAAGGGAAGATAATCAGCCACCAGTTTAGCCATCAGAAAGAAGGGAGATGGATGGTCCTCCTCTTTTACGTGGTATAAAGTGAAGTCTACAAGTAGGAGTTGTGGAGGGAAAATGGGCCTGCTTGGAGAAGACTCCACCACGTTCAAACTGGGTCGCACGCAAAGAATACACACAATACCAGGTTATTTATGCAAAGAGCCCCCAGGACCCCTATTTTGTGGTCCCCACGGCAAACCAATGGGATCCTCCCGGCAGTTTTGCAGCAACAGCTAGTTCAACAAAGCTCTGTGGAGAGGAAAAGAAGAAAGCTCCTCGTATCCTCTCCTGCCAGCCGAGGACCAGCCCTCCCGCCGCCCGGCCCCCAGCGCTCTCCCCTTGACAGCCCC